GGAGATTTTTATCTCTCTTTTTTATTTTTGACGTAATAGTGTTTTACTAACCTTGTTAAGTACTTAAAGACCTTAGTTGTTGGAGCAGATGAGAAGTGTTATTTCCAGCCCCCCCCCCCCCCCGTCCCCCGCATAGATTCATTTTTCAAACTTTCGCATTGCCCGGACTGGGGTCTGCCCCAATTAGTTTGGTGCATTAGGGTTTTTATTGTACTTTCATTATTCTGTAGTGTTTAACATCACGTTATTTACAGTATTTAAATTATTTGTTATGTATGGTATATTATTGTTGTTTTGTAGGACAAGGCTGTGCTTTAACATAACCTAAACTATGTAATTAACGCTCTTCCAATTTACAAACTGGGACTAAGAACGTAACCCGTTTGTAACCCAGGAAAACTACCTGTAATAATAATCAAGAGAAAGTAATGTGTATTATTTAATTATCTTTGATGCTGACAATAATAATCTGAGGCTTTCTGTGTGACAGTGATGAATGAGCAAAATTTATGTTTCAGAAAGATTCCATCAAAGTTTTAAAAATGAAAATATCCACCCGCGATGATATAAAAAATAGTACTGTACCTATATTATTTTCACAGTTCCATATCTTTGAGTTTCTTACAAGCTCCACCTGACACACTAGACTGCAAATCACTATCCTCCAAAAATTTACGAATGCAAAAAGCGCAAATTTATAACATATACTGTACATGGAAGCATCACAATTTTATGTTGACTGAGGCAGATTGATCTCACACTGATCCGGAATCCACACGGCCCAGCTTACACTGACTTACAACCAAGTGAAATTATTAATCTTTGTTGTCTTGCTGAAATCGCAGTTAAATGATTAATTTTCACACAATTTCTACAGTATATTATTAGTCAAGAATCCAAGCATGCTGGCAGAGCACCAAGTAATTTTCTAAATGGTGTACTGCATACTAAGCTGATGCAAGAGTGGTACCCCACAAAATCTTAAATAAAAAATTTTTATTACAGAATATAGGTACAGTTGTACCACGGTTAAGCGGTCAATTGAACCCACAGGGTACCGCGTTAAGTGAAAACTGCGTTAAGTGAACAACAGAACATATGGGATTAATTCCAATAGAGACTGGCCCGACCCCCAAACTCCACTTTTTGACGACACACAACTACTGTTGACCCTCGTTAATTCGGACTAATAGGGGGGGAGGGTGTCCGTTTTAGCCGATTGTCCGAATTAACCGATTTAGGGGTTAATATCGCATTATATTTCAAAGTCATTGTTTCCGTCACGATTTTATTGCACTTTCCACTGTAATACGTAAGTAATTTCAGCAAAAATATTACATTTCCGTGAATGTATTATATCAAGCACAGTATGAATAGAATATCATTGTAATATAACAGTATTTTAACCGAAAACTAGTAAAAAAACGAATAACATCTCAAGAACATCAAAAGCTTAGGTAAAGTCTTTTGTTTTCGTCATGTATTTTATCCTATTTTACATTGAAATACATCACGTTTCAGCAAAACTACTATTTATTTCCGAGAATATATTCATTCAGGCGTAGTTTAGGTAAAATATACGTGTGGTGTAACAGTTTTTTAACCGAAAACGATTCGAAAAACACGTACCCTCTAGCCCTGTTCAAGGAGAGGACTGGGAGAAGCTGTTTGGTGCTGCAGACGATGACAAGGAAAATGATTTGCATGGATTTTAATAAAAATATTCAGAAATATGGTATCGTAGTATTTATTCAAGTCAATTAGGATAGAATATTATTGTAATACAACGGGTTTTTTTAACTGAAAACCAATCGAAAAGCGATTACGGTAACATCTTTTGAACGAACGAAAGCGAAAGTCATTGTTTTCGTCACGATTTTATCGCACTTTCCACTGTAATACGTATGTAATTTCAGCAAAAATATTACATTTCCGTGAATGTATTATATCAAGCACAGTATGAATAGAATACCATTGTAATATAACAGTATTTTAACCAAAAACTATTAAAAAAAACGAGTAACTTCTCTTGAACATCGGAAGGTTAGGTAAAATCTTTTGTTTTCGTCATGTATTTTATCCTATTTTACATTAAAATACATCACGTTTCAGCAAAACTACTATTTATTTCCGAGAATATATTCATTCAGGCGCAGTTTAGGTAAAATATACGTGTGATGTAACAGCTTTTTAACTGAAAACGATTCGAAAAACACGTGTACCGTCTAGCTGATTGATACTCAACAGCTGGTGGTGCGTCATGCGTCGTTGTAAACAATAGGAGGTTGAAGTAGATTACCGGGTATTATAGTACGTGTGAAATATCGAAAAGGTTTTTATTACCGGTATTTTTTGTAGATCAATGAGTACTGTGATACCGTATATGATATGATAAGTTAGGCTATGCTAAGAACTTCAACATTGACTACTGAAAACACGTTGTAAGGTAATTTAGCCTATTGAAAGTTGGTGAGCTTCATTTGCTGAAGGAACTGCACAACTTTTCATTACTAATTGGTACATATTTTACGTTTCCATTGTTTACTGGCAGTAAATGGAAAATATTTTTCATGTCTGAAGCTAAAAGTTGCATCCCCCCCCCCCCACACTAGTGGTGGAGATGTTACATTTAACCAAAAAGATGCTGGTGTTTTATCCCAGCAGTGGGTGGACCAGCATTTTAGCTTAAGGTCCGCGTAGGTAATATTCCTAAAAAGAAAAAAGAAAAGAAAAAAAGTTCGTTCAGATTTTGTCGGAATTATCCGAAATCCGGATTAAAGGGGTCCGAATTAACGAGGGTCGACTGTATGTTGTAGTAAAAATAACATCTTAATTTTATGATGGTACATGCACACAATTAATACTTAAGAGAAATAGAGAAATACAGTCGCCAAGTTAATGTCCATTCAAATAATGGATTCGACTCCGTCCCCCTCTTCTCACACTACACTGCTGGCTCTTCCCTCTCTGAGAAATTTTTGGGGGAAAACCACTAGATTTTAATAAATAATACCTCAAACTAAAGTTAGGATAATATAATTGACATTGCTGGATTCCTTGTAAGACCAGGAATATTTTGAATATAAATGTCATATATTTTGCATAAAAGATAACATATTTACTCAGAGTAAACATTATATCTAAAATTTGTATGTCTAATGCAAAATCTATGATGTTTATATTCAAAATAATCATCAAATTGTAAGAATTCCAGCAATGTAAATTATATTCTGGCCGGGTAATTTGTATGAATTTTATGAGCTAAAACAAATATCTTCAGTTAATAAAAAAAAAAATATTCTTCACGACACTATCTGTCAATCAAAGTACCCCACCTTGCCTCCCCCCCCTTCCAACCGTGCCAGAATGGTCGGTCCGTCCCAACCCTCCCTACCAGAGAAGCTTTGGGAGAAAATAGTAATTTACATTTTTAGTAATAAATAATAACTCAGATTAAAGTTAGGATAATATAATTGACATTGCTGGATTCCTTGTAAGACCAGGAATATTTTGAATATAAATGTCATATATTTTGCACAAAAGATAACATATTTACTCAGAGTAAACAATATATCTAAAATTTGTATGTCTAATGCAAAATCTATGATGTTTATATTCAAAATGATCATCATATTGTAAGAATTCCAGCAATGTAAATTATATTCTGGCCGGGTAATTTGTATGAATTTTATGAGCTAAAAACAAAAAACAAAAAATATTATACTTCACCACGTATATGAGTAGATGAACCGAGTTAAGTGAAAGTTCGGTTCTGGCGAGGCACCGCGTATATGAGAAATCGCGTTAAGTGAAACCGCGTTAAGCGCGGTACAACTGTATTTCATATTCTACAGAAACCACAAATATCGAAGATCTATTGTATTCGAAAGCCATTTTCCATTAAAAAAACATATCGTCATAATATAATACACTGTACTGTAGCAAGATCTCCTGAGATAATTCCAGAGCAGATGTGATGCAGATCATTCAGTATTTCTAATAGCACTGTATACAGTACAGTACAGTATAACCTTGAAGATATCAAGCAGGACAAGATTTTTTTTTCTATCCTAAAATATTAACACACTTTACCACTCTAAGATGACTGGCATGACTTGGGAAGACTCTGCAAGAGAGAAATCTCTTCAAATAAACTCATAAGACAGCATCATATGACAATATGACATATAATGATAAACAAGGATATTTATCTTATCTGCTATGTGCACTGCCCCCAAGGGGGAAATCACAAAGAAGATCCTCCAGGCCACCCAATCAAAATAAATCTTCTTTGCATTATCTATTTCTCTTATTCCCCTCCCCTGTTCTCTCCCTAATGCATCATTCCTCCTCTTCTTTCTAAAATGTAGGCTGTTATCCTCTACCCAATGCTCCTGCACACCCACTCTCCCATCATCTCCACTTGCATCCTTTTCATATATCCATGCCACCTAAATGAACATCTCTTCACTCAATCCACTACACAATCTACATCCTCTACATCTCCCTATTCTGGACAGCCAGTTCACATTGATATGTCTTACCCCTTTCACTCTGTTAATCCTAAATACACACTCAAGGAACTCATTTTAGAGCATACTGTTGCCTACTTAGCCCATGATTCACTGCGATAAGATATAAACTATTATACAAACTCTCAGTTCCTTCTTCAACTTGGCTCAAAGTTTACATTCTTAGTGATACATCTCAGTTCTCCAATTAATATCCTGTCATAATATTATTCTCTCCCTAATATCACTCAAAGTGCACCATTTCTATTTAATTCACCAAACAAAGGTAGTCTAGAATTATTCAAGGCTGTTTTAGTGTTGAGTTAATTGTATGCCTGGTAGTACTAAGCTGTTCAATAAGTTAGTTAGTCACTGACTGAGGAAAAACAGTTATTTGCCTGACTATTACAACCATACATTAAACTCAATAATTTGAATAAGGTGACTTTCAAACAAATTTTCTGAAAACTTTGATGAATGGGGACTTACTCTGCTTTCCAAGGCTTGTTCCAGGTTTGTACCCCATTTTCTGAAGCATTGAGAAGCCTTTATTCGAAGAGCTAATGGCAGTGCTGAGACCTTCCTCTAATCGTTCCTTCTGCACCTCTTTCATGGTCTTAAATTTTGTTTGCTGTTTAACATCCTTAATTTTCTTCTTTTTCTCCATCTCTGCTTGCCGTTTAGAAGAATGGGAAAACATGAGTCCTGGTCTGATGTCATCTTTGCCAACACTGAAGAAGAGTTAATATTATTTTGTAGGTAATTCTCTTTGTTGTGTTAACACCACAGCATTAAATATGACAGGAATACAGGATTTAATAGATCACAAGAAATAAACAGCTTCAGCTGAATTGGGAAAAATTGGAGATTGGCCCTGAAATTCAATTTTATATATAGTTCAGCAAAGATCAGGCAACTCATGTACAGTCAGAATATCTAGGGACTTTAAAATCCAAGGTCCCAAGAACCCTGACATGTGTGTCAGGAAGTAATAAACCAAATATGAAATTCATCATCATTATGTAGCAGTTAAATTAAATACTGTACTGTACTTACACAACAAAAGTACCATACACACCTAATCAGGCCAAGGCCAAACTGTGCTGGTGCACACTGTAACTAATGAGAAGAAAACCATCATTAAACTATGTAGTATTTTAGTAGGAACACACCACTGAGAACTGCTAGACTTTGAGCCATTCCTGCTATAATCATACAGAGTTCAGAGACCTTCTTTTAATTACAGTACTTGTAGTGAAGTTGGAAAGCTTGTGTCATTAAATAACTTGTGGTGTAAGAATCAAACACATTAGTGAATTTTAAATGATGATTTTATTAATGTGGAGTGTACAACTGTGCAACAGTGACAACAAAGTGATGAAATACCAGCAGTTATCTCTAACCAACTACGATTTTTAGTACAGTATACACATTTTATATTTTTTAGTACACTGTTTTACTAACTACAGTATCCAGTTTGAAGTATCCACACTTTGTAAGATATTTCTAATTCAAAGAAGCAGAAACGCTCACTGGATCAGGTTTGTCAAATAGTTCATCTTGTTCACTTCGTCGTGTATGTTCCTCAAACATCAATTCATTTTCATCTATCACGCCCAGATCCTCTACCTTCTCGGCTCTTTTAACTCAATGGGTGCAGTAGGAAAGCAGATCACCAAAAGATCTTGCCTGGCAGACAAAGGTTTCCCCATAATCCCTAAGAGACCAAAGATGGGTGCAGTAAGAGAACAGATCACCAGTAGATTTTGCCTGGCAGAAACCATGCTGGTGATCCAACAAATGAGAAAGGCGTTTAAGGCGACAGAGAAAATGAAGTTTATAGTTTCAAAAATCTTAGAGAGGGATGAAGTTGGGCAATGGGACGATAGTTAGAGGGATTAGAATAGTAACCCTTTTTTGGGATGGGCTGAACCAAGGTATGCTTCCAAGAAGAAAGAAAGTTTAGGTTTTGAGGCAAAGGTGAAAGAGGCGAGCAAGTACAGGGGCCAGAACCTCAGCACACAAGGTGTCCCGTCTGGTCTATGCTCCTTACTCACATCCATATTGGATAACTTACCAACAATCAACTCTATAATTGGAGATTATAGGAATGAGCATAGGTTCAGTAGGAGGAGTAGGAGGGGTAGAGTTGGAGGAAAATAAGGTGCCAAAGAGATTAGCTTTATTAGAGAGAGTGTTGGCTATAGTGGTATCAGGTCGGAAAAGAGGAGAAAAAGAGGGAGTGCAGAAGTTATTCCAGATGTTTTTGGTTAAGGACAAGAAAGATTTACTAAAAGAAGAGTTAGTCAGGTCAGCACTTTTTTAAAAGTCAGGTCAGCACTTTTTTAAAAATAAAGTTCCACTTAGTCCTATTAAGACTTACAACGATTCCTGGAAGCAATGGAAGAGGAGTGAGTAACAGCAAGAGATAGTTTCATAACTCGATATGCCCTATCTCTCTCTCTCTACATGCAAGAGAACAGGAGCAATCAACCCATGATTGTACAGTAAAGTGAAAGCTTTGGTAGAAGATGGGATAAATGCACTCATACCACCCATTATAACCCTGGCAATGCTGTCAGCACATACCAAGGCATCCTGAGTGGAAAAGCAACATTCATCCCAGAGAAGATTTCTTGCAAAAATTGTCAGTGTGCCCTCCGATATTGTCACAGGTGACGTTTAAACAGGAGTGGGAGAGTTGGTCGCGCCCAGTTTGATTTAATAGAAATAAGATTGTGATCAGAAAATCCTAAGGGGGCAGAAATTGAGTATAAATAGTGTGAGGGGTTAGAGGTAAAATAAAGATCAAGAATGTGAACAAGTAGGTTGTGTCGATCTGGAACAAGTGTAGTGTGTTTAATTATTTGTTCCAGATCATTAAATAAGGAAAAGAGACTCTACCTGGGTCATCCACTGCAGAGCCAAGGCACTCTCTGTGATGTACAGTCCTCCAAAAAAGCTTCTGAACGGTTAGTCATTCTACATCCACGACCTTTGGGCATGAATGAATATACAGTATACTCTTTCAAATGATATGAATCCTCTGAGGCTTCAGATTATACAGGCCTGCCTCACTTATCGCAAAGGTTACGGGCATGAATATCGAAATTGTGAATAGCGGAGCAATTTCTCCCATAAGAAATAATGTAAATAGGGGGGATACGGGCATCGCGGTGGTCACGGCCGTCAGATTTTAACACTTGTTTTACTCAATATTTATAGAACAAAATAAATAAAGAAACAAGGGAATAATATCAAATAAACATAAAAAACAAACACTTTGAGTTTATTAGGCGTACAGTGGTCCCTCGGTTAGCGAACGGTTCGGTTAACGAAATTTCAGTTAACGAATTACCTTCCATAAGAATCTTCAATTCGGTTAACGAACAAAAATTTGATTAACGAAATCCTTACGAAAATCACGTTTTGTTGTGAGCATCAGCTGATGAGCTAGTCTGCCAATTCAGTGATCTCTTCTATGTTTACATTCGTTTCCAATGGAGTAAATATCAATAAAGTTGTACTCTTTAATATTTGTGCATGTTTTATATTAAAATTAGTAGTCATTTTAACATTTATTTAACATATTGATAATATATGCAGTACAGGGAACTAGTTACAAATATCACGTTTTGTTGTGAGCATCAGCTGATCAGCTACCCCTGCTAATTCAGTAATCTGTTCTATGTTTACATTCGTTTCCAATGGACTAAATATCAATAAAGTTGTGCTCTTTAATATTTTTGCATGTTTTAGATTAAAATTATGAGTCATTTCAACATTTATTTAACATATTGATAATATATGCAGTATAGGAAACTAGTTTGTTGTGCGCCCATCAGATGCGTGAGTTGGTCACAACAAGGTAGGTAGATAACAGGTAGCCTCACGCAGGCCCATAGGAATTCAGTAACTGGCAACTCTACTCTCGCGATCGCTAAGCCACGCCCCTTTTGCCACTTCATGCGTTTGTAATATTGTGGTATTATTATCTGTATAGATCCTTTCTCTTTCTTTTTGATGTAACTAAGTGGGCTGAGCTTAATAAGTGATGTCATCGCTAGCCAATCAGCGACGTTGGATGAAATCCAGCGGTTGCAAGTAAGATATTTATATTTATTTTATATATTTAATCAGTGGCTCCAATTAAAAAAAAAAATCTCCATTCCATACATTTATTGTACAACTTTTAATACCACCATATGCCATCAAAAATACGTAAATAAAAATTTCATTTTTATTTTCATTAGCGTAGATCCTATGATGATGTACTAGGGATCATATCAGATCATTTCATCTAGTGATTCCAATTGTAGCGACAGAAAATCTAGCAATACTTTTTGGGGGGACTGTACAGTGTTGGGGTGTGTGGATAGTAATGACTCATGACAAAAAGTGAGATAGTCAAAGAGTTCCATATTGTTGATATGGTTGGGAGAACAGAAGAGTATATGAAAAAAAGCTCATAGTTGGTAGAGATATTTTGAGCCAGATGACACCATAAAGAGAAGTTTCAACATATGTGAGTCGAACTATAGGAGTATGCGTGTTGCAGTAGATGCATGCACCCTAAGAACAGAAAGAGGTATAATGGTTGTAGTTGGAGAGCTGAAAAGGTTTGAGTGAAGCTGCCTTGGTGAGTTGAAATTCAGATAGCACAGTAGGCCCTTGCCAATAACGACTTCCACAATAACGGTAAGTTACAATAGATACCCATTTTCGATAATAACGTGTGGATTCTCTTGAATAACGGAGATTTCGTGGGAATCGTCCAAGCGCATCAATGATAGCGTTTGTTTGCCGCCATGTTGATGACGCTCCATGGAATACAGCGCTGCATCCACATTTGAGATTTTTGCCTCTATAACCAGCGGTTGCTAGGGTCGGTGATCAACAATGGCTTCTGCGTTTTTGCCTGTGGGGGCTAGGGGAGGTGGTGGAGGGAGTGATTTGCCACCTGAATGCCCGGAAACTTTTAAAGTGAATGAGAAAAAAAACCCCAAAGCGTGCCTACTCGGTCAAGGATAAAGAACAGATTGTTGAACTCATTGAAAGTGGTGCACGGAACATTGATATTGTGAGGAAATTGAACTGTCCCGAGTCTACAGTGCGAAATATTAAGAGGAACTTAGAGAAGACCAAAAAGAGTATTGCGCTGGCTAAGAAATATTTCGTTAGTGATGGAAATGCGAGGCGAGCTATGAATGATAAAAGTGATAGAAAGTTGATGAAGACATTGGGGAAATGCCTGATGATTTTGACTTTGAGGGGTTTGATGAAGTGTTAGCGGAAGTGGGTGAACTGGGTACGAGAGACCAGCGTGGGGACTGGGACGGAGATGGGGCCATGGAAGTGGGTGGAGGTTTGACGCAGTAGCCTCCATGCCCCAGCCTCGGAACAATCATCACACCAAGCACCTCAAAAACTCCCCCAAGCTAAGTGTTATATTACTGTACTCAAATTCTTAATTTTGATGATTGAATAACAATTCTTTTTATTTCAGCTAACAAAAAGTGTTAGAAAGGCTTCAAAGGGGAAAAAATGGGTGAAATTATTAGGGTGGCGGCACCAATAAACCCTTTTTACATGCATTTTAATGTCACACAAATAACGTTTTTGCTAATAACGGTGTTATTCAGGCACCTATTAGACATTATTGGCAAGAGCCTACTGTAGTAAGAGATCATGGAAGAGGTTAATAGATGGTGCTCCACAGAAGAAAAATTGG